TTGAGTCATCAACAGCGACATTAGTAGGCAGCTCAGAAGAAAACTGTTTTGGGACTTCAACATCATGCCTATCTTTACAAGAGACCTGCTCAACTGGAGTTTCTTCTTGATCAAAATGGAAGGAAGATGGAATAGAACTTTTTATGCCTGCAGCCACTCCACAGCAAGAGAGAAAAGATTCAAAACAGCAATGTTAGATAATTACATAAAAAATTAGGCATGAATAGTGCACGTTGGACATTTAAGTAGTTTATAAATATGTATTACTTCCTGGCTGAGTAGCTAACTTGTCTGAATCAGAAATACTTCCAGAAACCGCACAAGTAGTGGTAGAGTCTCCACCAAAGAACTTTGCAACCCATTGTTCCCAGTAAGGAGGAAAGCCAAACAGAAAATGACTGAAAACCTGTTTAGGATTGAAGGCAAAAAAGCCCCAAAATAATAAATAAAACAAGGTGTAATGTTAAATTTCTAACTTTAGTGAACATGTTATGCAACAACAACGACTTGCAATGCACCCTTATACTGGTTAGCAATCCTTTAGTGAATGGAGTGTACAAACACAGGCCTTGTAGCATGACAGGAAAAGCAACAGCCGAATTGTTCAGCACAATAAACTTACCAAGTACTTGGGTACAGACACATTTAGTGCTCATCATTCACTTATACTTGTAAAACGAAAACAAAAATAGAAATTTTGAATTTCCATAATCTATACCGATTGTCTATGTTCGTAGCTAATTAACTCAGTTTACCACTACTTGATTGTTCAAAACTTAAAAGTTCATAATGAAAACCACAATCAGCAATGAAAGAGCAAGAATGGAAGCCAATTTTAAGTACTACCTCAGATGGAAACCCATTTTCAGTAGTCTTCTGCTTGTTTATGAACCCTTTGATGGATACATATATGCCATCCACCGTCTCGAGAGTGAAAACATCGAATCTTTTGGCTATTGGTGCAGAGGAGAACACTCGCCTGGCACCTTCCCTAAAATTGATCAATACCACCATAGCCATTAATTCCTTCAAAAACAATAACAAGAGAAATGAAGAGAAAGAAACCCTAGAACTTAGAATCAAATCAATGTATCTCACTTTCTAGATGATACACCGGCGACGGCTAGCCACTTTCCTTGGACCTCGTTTTCGGCTTTAATCAGCCACCAATCGTTCAAACATACCTTTCACAATTCAAAAACCCAAAATAAAAAACAATATATGTTTAAGAAGAAAGAAAAAACAAATTTCGAGGGCATATTTTGTTGCGGAAAAGCAGAGAAAGTAGTTACTGTTTTCTGAAAGTAGGAGACATCGGTATTGTTATCGCCATGGATTGTCTGGTTCGAGCTCGGAGTAGAAGCCATGAGACTGAAGCTTGGCTACTGGGTCGGTCATGAAAGACGAAAATGGGCATCAGCAGTTATTTTGATGGAAGTGACGCTTTGAGACTTGGGGGAGGACTTAGCGGGAAATCTAAGCCTCTTTGCCGCCAAAGTACTGCCCTTTACAAAAAAAAATAAAAAATAAAAAAGAGAACGGCTTTTTATTTAAAAATTGGTATTTTGAAAAATGAAAAAATTCGGGGTTTAGGGTTTTTCTGCAATTTTGGGAACAGAGCAAGGCAAACTGAGAGAGAGAAGAAATGGCGCTGAGGGCAGGACTTGTAAGGCGATTTCTGTCTAGTCCAATCTTCACTTCTCAATCTAGAGCTGCTGCAACTGCTGCGTCCTCGGCTTATGCCTCTGCTGCTGATTCCAACAACATCAGTGATAAAGCTACCGCAGAACCTAACACCACTCTCTTCGTCTCTGGTAACAATTTCCCATTAAAAATCTTTGTGGGTTTTTCTTAGTTTATAGAAAATTAGTCTAAGATGGTTCGTTGGTTTCAACTGGTTCATCATGACCAGTGGTGACCATAATGAGAATAGTGAGAAAGCTTGAAACTTTTTTCTGACAACTGTTTTTCTGTGACGATTGGAGCTTCCATAAACCAATGGATCCCAATTTCTATATCATGAAGGTTTGATAATTAGCAAAATTTGGGCTTCTGTAAAGGCGAGTGAGAAGTTTAATTTCTTATTATACTGCTGTTTTAGTTAGATAACCAAATTGGACCTCCGAATTATGCTCATTGGAGTGCAGTTGCAGAGGAACTTGTTTTGCTTATACTACATTTTGGGTTATTGGAGTATGCATAACTATGCTTTGATGATACGGTTTGTCTTGCAAATGTGCTTGCAGGGCTTAACAAGAGAACCACGCCTGAAAAACTTAACGAAGCATTCTCTCAATTTGGTGAAGTGGTTAATGGTAATACGGGGTTCTCATATGCCTTGCTCATTTGGATTTCATTGCTTCAACTTCATGTAGCCCCCCAACTAAATTTCATGATCAAGATTTTAAATTTCTTTTTCTGTCTCATTAGTGTTGCAAGTTGACAAATTTACTGCGTAGTTAAATATTTTAGGATAAAAATTTGTAGAAACAAACTGATATGCGGTTTAAGCTTGAAATGAGATTTCAGTGGAACTGATGCATGTTTAGTTTTGGAGGTGCAAAGAGAATCTCATTTCTGGTAAATGATATAGTTCTAGTTTCATACCATCTCTGCAAGATTTTCAAGTATGATGATAATCAAGGATTTTCCAGGAAAAGGAATGGGACAAAATGGGAATGGTGCTACAAAATATGAAATAAAACCTTCCAAATACAATAGAACCTGTGTAGGCAACACAAAAAGATTGGGATTTAGGTGTCTGGGTTGAGATATAAATTAGCACACGGTCATAATTTCAGTCGGCTTGTATTTTTGTTCTAGATTTCTGAGCAATCTTCATAATTGTTCCTTGTGTGAGCAATCTTCATAATTGTTCCTTGTGTAAGAATATGCCATGGATTTGGTCATCTGAGGTTCCAAATTTTGCAGCATTGCCTTGTTTTATAGTCATGCATTGACAATTTCTTCTCATGTTTCAGTAAAGGTAGTGATAGACCGTGATTCTGGATTCTCAAAGGGCTATGGGTTTGTGAATTATGCCACTTTAGAAGACGCCGAGAAAGGGGTGAAAGGGATGGATGCACAGGTCTGCATGTCTTGCAAGAACCATCTTCTTTGTACTTTTTATTTTGATTGCATATTTTCTTAATACATGATACGAATATAACTGGTGCTATACTTTCTAATTATATATTTGTGTGAGGCAGTTTCTTGATGGATGGGTCATTTTTACTGAATTTGCACGACCAAAAAGAATTCCAGGACAGTGAGCATCTCCAGAAACTTACCCAACTGCTAGCTGATGATCAATCCAACCAGTGTTACATTGTGAATTATACCCTACTTGGTGGAGAAACGGGTGCTGTGCTGTTTGTGAAACCAATTGGCTTCCTTGGGAAGATTTGGACGTAGGAGCAGTTTTGTTCTCATTTTCATGGGCTACATCAAAGCAATTTCTGTCGATAAAAGCTTTTGATTTCACTCTTGATAACATAATTTAACTTATCTGTTTCTTTGTAATGATTTGCTTGACATCACATTACATTTGGCATGTCCATCTTGTCTTTTTTTGCTCTACACCTGTACGTTCTTTTTTTAAAAGGAAAAGGAAACGTATATGCAAAAGACAGTCCAGAATTGTTAATATTAAGTCAAGTCAATTTGCATCTGAATATAAATTGGATTTTGAATTTTCCAATCTAATAAGAGCTTAAGATTCAATCCGATCCGATTGATATTTGATGATATTGGATTAGATGGTTGGCTTTAATGACGGATAAAAAAATGTTGATTTAGGGAGTTTCTCTAGTAAGGATTTCAGAAATCCGTCGTCCATTATATATGTTAGTGGAATTTTTTCCCTATAGTGTATTAGGCATAATCCTACCAAATGACACAAACTTTCATAATTTTTTTTGGATTTTAGATTCTTATAATAGTATAAATGAATGAAATAAGACTTAAATTGGATACTCACAAGTAAATATGTCAACCTATTTAATTAAGTTGGTTTAAATGATCCAAGCTGATCAAATAGAAATGGAGTAAACATGTTTTTTTGTTTATTAATACGAGTTCTAAAACATAACTTAGTTTTTACCTATGTTATAGCACGCGAATTAGTAACACTAGTTCTTGGGCCATGAAATACTCAAATATTATTCTATTTCCCTAGATAAAATGTTTAGTGTCAAGAGCACAATGATTTTCCACTTAAATGTGATTCTGTTTCATTCTACATGTCCATGTACATGAAGTATGTATGTATTGAGAAATATTTATTCATATATATATATTTTTATGTGTTTTATGTTAACCTAGTTTTTTTTCTTGGTTGTGGATGATCTAGCAAAGTTTTCTTCTTCCACTTATATGTGTTTATGCTCTTAGTCATTTTTTAATAGATATATATAATATTTCATTTTATAAAATATAGTTTGTATTGTTAGTTTTGCCATAATGTATAAATGGAAGTACTATTTTTCTGTTTTTTAGTATTATCTTCTTCTTAAAAAAATTTAAAGACTTTACACTATGACCCTAACTTTCATGTATTAGGGCTTTTTTTTGGAGTGATTATGGGATGACGATAATCATTTATGGGGAGAAGCATATCATACATGTTTCTCCATTTACTTTTAAGTGATTTTAAGCAAGCTGCTTCTCCCCACCAATTAAAGTGATTATATGGAGAAGTGATTATTGGCATTCCTAGAATCACTGAAAAACGAGCCTTTACTGCAAGAGGATCATTTACATATGCATTGAGTTGCTTCTTTCTCTGATTCATTTATATAAATAGAATCTCTGTAGACAATCCAACATCTTGTGGCTGTAGTTTAGTGGTAAGAATTCCACGTTGTGGCCGTGGAGACCTGGGCTCGAATCCCAGCAGCCACACTATAATCTTTTTTCGCTTTTTCTAAATTCCCATAGAACGACGTCGTTCGTGAACCGTAAAATATTGGGCAAAATGCATTCCCTTGTATAAAGAGTACAAGTAGCTTCAGCACCCACTTTCCTCACTCTGTTTCAGCAGTTGTCAGAAGTCTATATCTTCGCCATTGACTGAGCAATCTCTTCCAGAATTGTAAGAATCTCAACCCCCTTTTTCAATTCTTGTAATTATGTGATCTTGATCCGTAATATCTCGTTGTTTATGATGGCAATTCTAATTCAATGTTTTCAATTCTGCTAAGCAATTATGGTGTTGTTCATCCCTTTCGTAGATCTATAGTCTTCACAGAGTAATTTGTAGTTTTTTTTCGCTTTCTAATGTTACGCCAAAAGGTTGGTTTGGTTGAAAGAATCAAACTTTAGTCGGTAGGTGAAATGGGCTGTGGCCTGTACTTGGATTTGGAAATTGGATGCGAGCTAAACGAATGCAAAATTTAAGCAATAGTTGATAGTGTAAGTCTAATTGTGGAAAATGAAGGGTAATTCAAGGGAAGAATAAGATTTGCTAAATATAAATTGAACCAAGAATTTTGGTATAATGGATGTTCGATGATTTACAAAATGTTGTCAATGGGTTTGAATTTCTCTATTTTATGGTAGGGAGAATGGCAGTGTGATTTCTTTATCTTAAAGGCTTAGTTGGGTTTGAGGTTTTTTTATCTTTTTCAGAACACTAGCGTTTCTGTCTAATTTGCAAAAGAGGGTGGTGTGACTAGAACCAGAAGTTGCAAGTTATAACTACAACCCAATTTCTTCTGTATGCTGGCTTTCAAACTTGCTTCAATTTGGGAATAGCGTAGATGGATCAATTACGCGGTTCATATTTGTTGATTTTCTTAAGATCTAGGATGTTGCTTTTCGTCTGGTTGATGGCTGTCTAATATCCCTTTCTTTTGATGCTTGGTTATATTTCATGGGAAAAAAATTTCTTGTTGCTTATTGCAAATACGGTTTTGAGTTTGAACTCCATTTTTATGTGATATTTTTGTTAGGTCCGTTAGTTTCAATATTTCCAACTTGTGTACATGTAGGGTACACTGAGTGCTTCTGCTTATTTTCCAATTGTTGCATTTGATGTTACAGATGATGGACGATCAGGACCTGGGCTTCTTTGCCAATTTTCTTGGCATCTTCATATTTGTATTGGTAATAGCATATCATTATGTGATGGCCGACCCAAAATACGAAGGCAACTAAGGATCTGTTTCCTTTTTTATGTATTTGCAATAGAGAGATGCATTTTTCTTGCGACTAATGGAGATACCCTGTTAATTTTGTAGCCTGAGCTGTTTCACAATGGATTCAACTTGAATTAGTTAAGAGCTTTGTTATGCAATGTGAATGTTTGTTGTTATACACAGGTGAGTTTCTTTCACTAATTATATCTGCTTCATATGAAGTTTTCCACACCTTTGCATTAACATTCAAAGGATGTGCCTGTGATTGAATGCGATGCTGGTTCTGTTTGAGAGCTTACCGTTGGAGTTGGCTTGGCAGTAATCTGCCGTTTGTAACAAATGCAAAAGAACGTGCTCTCGAAGTGATTTCCTTTGTGAATTTTAAAAGTAAATGCATGGAAAACAAGAATCCTTTTGGGGCACATTCAGAAGGATTAGGTTTCATATAGTTGTCTACATGGTCTAGCCAAATTACAATGCGTACTGAGGTCAATGAAGGATTGACAAATCTAATAGCATTTGCCAATCGGTTTTTTTTTTTTTGGTTGGTCTGAATGCCAATCGGTTAGATGTATGGTCAAGCTAACACACCTCTTATTAGGCACTATGTACGTGCATCCAGTGCATTAGCTTTACAACAAATATTAAGAAATTTTTTGTGCCTTGAAGGACTCTCCCATTTTAATAGTTTCCTCACTTCTTTCTCCATCTCCATTGTTTCACTCGTCAAACTTTGGATGCAGAATCCCAGGCCAGCCAAACAAAGAACCATTTGGCTTTTACATTTCTCTTCACCGTCACTATTATGGACGTTGTGAGCTACTTCCGGAAAATGTTGAAGAAGAATATTTACAATGGTCTCAACCTCTTCATCTCCTGCACCCAAAATCCTAAACGGGTTTGCTGGTTTGCCCAATTCGCTGTCGTGGTAATCATCTTGCGCCTCAGTCTCAAATGCTGCAACATACTTGATCGAAGTCACCTTCTCAAGGCATTCCAGTGAAGAGTTAATTTTTTCCTTTAGAAGCTCTAGGTCAGCATTCATATGTTGCCTTAGTTCCTCTGAAGCATCTCCCAATTTCTGTGTTACTTGTGAGAGGAACTCCGTTTCACAGGCCACAAATGGTAAAAGATCCGCCATTTTCGATAAGGATCCTAGGACCTTACTGTAACTAGCACCCTTAAAGGGCAAGAAACAGAAATTGGGCTCTGTTTCAGCTTCTTGGATGAAGTTTTCTAACTTTTTAAGGTGGGATTTTAGCTTCCTCTGTTTTTCCCTCAGTCCGGCAGAAGCCGGTACACAAAGATTTATGTCTTTGATGCAATCTCGAAGTGCCCCCATGCTTTTAGAAAGCTCATTTCTTGCAAGGGTCACTGCTCGCATAGGATAAAAGAGAATCTCTACTAAAACGAAACAAATCAGTCCAATGCATGCTTCTGTCATTCTTGCAATTGCAAATTCACTTGGAGGACCATAATTTTCCCTACCCAAGATTAGCAATGCCCCAATGGCTGCTGAGATCCCACCAGCTTGGCCATACATCCTGCTATGCCTAAGAAAATGGGTTAAAAAGATCCAAGGTATGAGTGGTAAGAGTCTGAAGTGCTCAATTCCTTGGAAAAGAAATAAACATATGACTCCATAGACAGACCCCATCGCCGTTCCTTGTGCTCGAGCATTTGTAACTGTAAATGTGGCTTGCCGTCCGGTCACGAAACCGATGGCAATGGTGAGGCCTGCCCAGTATCCGTTTTCTTTGTTATATATCAAACCGAATAACACAGCAAGGCCTAATGAAAGTGAGCACTTGAGGGCAAAAACTAAACTCCTGAGGCTTGGCATTATGTTCTTCCAAACACTTTTGAAGTTACAGTGCGCTTGATTTTGTTCACCACTTGGTGCTTGGTTGGGGTTAGATTTCAGAGTGTTTCCGGGATTTCGGGCAATGGGTTGGTTTTCAAGCAGGAGTTCCATGCAGTACAAGAAGAACGAAGCCGCCATGTTGTCATGGTTTGTGGTGGTGGGTTTGCCAATCCAAGGGGCATTGTCCAAAATCTCTCTGTTTATCTCTGGAGCTGTTGTTGCATCAGAAGGCATAGAGTACCTAGATTGCCGCAGCCTTAGGCTTATCTGTACTTCTGAACTTCGTACATGACCTCTTAGCTCTTCATCAATCAGATTAAGAGGAAATGAAGAGCAACTAGATAAAGCTATCTCCATCCCCCTCAATGGAATCTCAGTTTCTTGCAACTGTTCACCCAACTTCATATAATTTGGTTTTAGAAATTTCATCTGTGGTCTCTCCCACACCATCCCTACCTGCTTACAAGAAAATGAATGGCTTTAATCTTTAGCTGAATGAACAAACTAAATGAAGCTCACGCTCATTTTTTATACTGGACATGAGTCAATGTTAGCTTACCAGATTGTTGCTGATGCTTTGATGAAGCTTAGCTGCTGCTTTAGAGAGAGATTGTTCTTGAGAAATGAATTCAAGTGCTCCTCTTTTGTCTTGGACAGAGACGGCCTCAACAAAGTGAATTAGCCTCTGGGAAGCAATTTCAGCATACATCCTCCATGAATTCTTGACCTATGAATGCATTTTAATTCACAACCATCAGTATTTACCTACTGCAATTGGGTTATCAAAGAAAAAAAAGTAATCTTAGATTTATGAGTTCTTGATATAATGTTATCCCACGTTAGAAAAATAGGAGATCCTGATATAATATACGAGTTCTTGGGCACCCTTTCCTTACAAACCGATTTTGTAGAGGCAAGTTCTGTCCATGTTCGCTCGTATTAGATGTTACATCAGATTTAGACAAATGAATATTTGAGATGTTTCATTTAACAGAGAAAACACAATAATACAGGTTCTTAATCAAATGTTATGATCTTTCAATAAAACCTTTCAGTTTGCATTATACCATGAATAAGGTTTTGCCTTTTTTGTTGTCTGGTTTATGAGACAATATTCGTCTGGTTTATGAGACAATATTCAGACAGGACCAAAGGGGCTTTAATTGGACCACGAATCCCAAACTAGGCAACTGTCCATGAACAGCACGCATGGACTAAGTCCTGCCCTTGAGAGCCACCAATAAACACTTTTTTTTTCCTTTTTGGACATGACAATCTGAGATTCTAAATAATCCCAATCAACAAGCTGCCATTTGCCGTATGATGCTTTTGTTTTCCAAATTAGCTGGACTTGGCACCTAGTACGCATGCATTATAATTTGCTTCACTCTGGTTGGTTCAGCTGTCAAAGCTAAAGACCAGTCGAGTTTTTAAAAGATAGAAAATGCAGAACATTATTGGTTTTATTAATTGATAAATATATGTAGGCGTGTATGTTATATGCACTTCCCAAAACACATCTTTCACTCCTACGTATGGAGGTCTCTTTGTTTTATCCGTATTTGGTTTAGAGACAATGAATAAGATCCTCTATATGTTTTCTGTGCTTATATTTTATCATGCTCAAAACCCCGTCACGAAATACAATGAAGCCGTCTCTTGCTAGACTGCCTAGCACGACACAATGCACTCCTATTTCCAAATTAAGAATCTGAGTCCTTACTCCGTTGGACTCTTGTTTGAATATATGATTCCGATTTATAGTCTCATAAAATAACAATATGCCTAGCAACATAAAATTTGACAAGAGAAAATGACCTGATTTGAGACATTGCTAGACTAAGAACCCGAGTGAGTATCTGATTCAGATTTGTAGTCTAACAATATAAACGGCTGTTATTTGACGGGCCACAATGCATGTGCATGAGTAAAAGCAAGAAGATTAATTATTTACCTCATAGTAAGCCAGCCGAGGGTAGGGAAACAACAAAGCAAGGACAGAAGCCAGAGCTCCAAGGGCTGTGCTTGCTGCAACACCAAGAGGGTGCATGACAACTCCAGTTTGAGCCCCATGAACCACAGTGCCTACATAAATATTCACAAACTGCCCAAATGCAATCCGCTTAGACATCAAGTGTGTAGACTCTGGCAAAGCCACTACAAAAGCACTGACTGCCACAGCCACTGTTGCCAGCAAGATGTCGAAATTTTTCGGGCCAACCAGCCAAAGGGTAAGCACAGAAGGCACCATTACTTGGACAGTGGCATACATGACATGCCAACAGCTTCTCAGGACATCACCAAGCTTTGCGTCCGGGACAATTAGAATGGTGGTCATGTAAGAAAAAGATGGGTATGTTAAGTACTTTCGGAGTTGTGGAGGTCCATAAAGGGTGGTGCAGCCGACTATGGTGCACGCCAAGGCAGTGCGTAGAGCGGAGCCTAGGCGTGGGCGCCATGACGATTGGGTTTGGTAATCTCCCATTGTTGTAGAGGCTGCCAATTTTGTCTTAAGGGTTACTTATGAAAAAAGGAATCAGTGGTGTGTGAAATGAGATCAAATGGTTTTTGCCCTTTAGTTTTGAGAAGCTTGTTGTTGTTGCATAAAAGATGATCAGCATGAAGGGCTAGGTTTGGTTTGGAGGAGAGGGAAGACACATTTGCTCCTTTGAGGACATGTCTGCTCATGGCGCAACTTCTATTATTTATACTAGAAGCTTTGTTCCTAACTAAACATTTTAACCAGAGGATTTGTAGGACCTTTTCTTTATCTTTTTGCTACAGGTGAAAAAAGGAGTTGTGAAATAAATTATTTATAAATAAAAAAACAAATTGTCTACATGTTCTTGGTTATATTAACCGAAGACATTATTTTATAGAACTGTTATGATTTCCTTTGACAAATTTGTGAATCTCTTTTCTACTTCTTTTAACTAAAATATGGGGAAAGAAAAAAGTGAGAGGAGAGATCTTAGTTTTTATTAGAAAAGTTTCAAATAACTGCCCCATCTGAGAAAATTTGAATTTTTGTTAAATCTAGATATGATGGTATTTAGGTGGGATAATAGTCCAAAGTGGTTGGATTAACGTGGCCGGTTGATTACCATCATTAGCACCTAAAAATCTCCTAATCATGTGCGTATGAGAAATCTCTTTTCCCTTTGTAGTTTAGATTATCGTTTGTATTAAAAATAAAACAAAAACTCTTAATCAGATTGAATCTTCCGATATCCTTGTATAAGCTTGTGTGTTATTTTTTAGCTTTTGTTTGATTAATTGTACCAAAAATCTGCCATTCAGAATTAAGCTCCTTCAATCTCACAAGTCAACTCAGATTTTGGGTTTTGCTTGTTTGTCTTGTAGCTTCTGGTAAGCACCGATGATGGGGACTTTGTAATCGTTGTTTTTGTACAACCCAACATTTTAGGAACTGCTTATTTATTAAAAAAAACTATATCCCAAGAAAGTGACATGAAAAATTGATGGGTTTGGTTTGGATGATTGGTTTGGATGGTTTGCGTCTTCAGCCAGCAATTAAGTGACTAAACATAGTCATTAATGATAAGGGCTATTAGTAGAAAAGCGTTCGTTGACTTGAGTTCATAACAAATTTTGCAATTTTGGGCATGTGAGTCATGTTATGCTACATTCCTCCCAAGTAACTGTTTGGAGGTCGTGTGAATTATAACCTCAGTTGGGTTTGTGTTTTTTATTGGAATTGATTTTCATTTCGGCAAACCCGCAAATGAAATTGTTGATGTATATGTAATAAATGCCCGATAATCATCCACATGAGCGTGAACGAGTGTGACTAGCATTCATCATAAAGTATTTAGTGTCCAAATTAACATGTATTTCCATAGCCAACAATCACCTTATACTAGAAGGGTAATGGCATAGGGTCGAGCCCAATGAAAAAAGACTTTGACTTGTAGACTAGAGATCTCAAGTTCAAATCCTCACGACATCATAGTTGTGTGTGTGTGTGAGAAATCCCCCTTCCTATAGTTTAGACTAACGTTTATACTAAAAAAGAAGGTTAATGGCATATGTACGACCAGGTTCGTGGGTTTTTCTGTTTTGGCTCTAATAAATGACCAAATGAAATGAAGGCAAACAAGTTGTCAAAGTACTCATTTATAAAAGCTTCTTGGGACTTCTATTCTATAGTTCAAATATTATAAGCATTTATTAAATCTTCATTTCCATCACGTCATCGCTTATATTTAATTAAGACAGGAAGGAGACTGCCCAACTACAGATTTGAGAGGGGGAAAAAATAAATCCAAGTCTCATGACGGAAGCAACTATATATTAATGTGACTTGCTGTTATAAATCTAATCCATCTAATAAATGTGTTGCGGAGGTTCACCATGTATCATGTGTGAAAAGGGCTTGGTAACATGCTCTGAGCTAACTATGACAACAATTACTAACAAACTACAATTTCTAACATGTGTGAATATGTTTCCCAGCTAGATAATCTCTCATGGTACGTCGTTAGACTGTGAATCATGACCACACATTCAAATTTCACTCAATCGAATGGTCTTTGATTAACCGTCTAAGAACATAACAGTCTTTAGCAAGAGAACATGCAAACAGGCCTACCTGGCTGCTTAATTTCACAAACACCTGCTTGCTCCTAACAGAAAGCATACATGCACACGGGTGATATCATGTAAAACAAATTCATGTTTCGGCAATGCATGAAAACAGGCCTCCCTCGAAATAACTTACCTGCAACATGGAAGTTTCTCTCCTAGTTACCTTCCTCAACTTGGAGTTCCCGATAGGTTAGTGTCAGGATTGGTAACAGAGTCTGAAGCAAAAGGGTATGACTCAAAATTGGTGCAAATTCGACTTGATGTGACTTGCGCCCTTTGTAATAGGGTACAGTAAGGTCTCACAAAGATGTGACTTGATACAATAAAGGTTAGAATGCAATAGGAAATGCTAACAGAGAAAAGAAGGTGCCGGTCCAGAAAATGCTCAGATACAACGAAAATAAATATGAAGAAGTAAAATACCTAATTTCCGTTGAAATACAAAATATATACAACAATACTCCAACAATTAAACAACTGGACAATAAGTACGACCGAATCAAAACATGCATGCTACCAGCTCACATCCATAATTGGATTCCGAGCATATGTCATTGATATCCTAATCGTAAGGTTATCAGCCCTCTTTGTGTGAGGAGTGTTTCAATTCAATAGGTAGACTACATATGAATGTAGAGACAAATTCACTAAACATCATCAGCATGAGCACACCTCATATGCCACAACTTTTAGTGTTTTACACCTCAACTTGAGCTAATCAAACACATGGAAAATCACTTATGCTCAAGCCAAGCATCTTCGAGATCATGTGCTTATTGGTTGTTCAGTTAAAACACATTTTTCAACTAAGTGAGACTGATAGCTGTCCAGAGAAATATATGTGATGATGACTTACTTGGATTAAGAATCCACATTACGTGATATCATTCTTGCTCCATTAAAACTTGCACTATGGACAGTTAGTTGAGTACCATTTTCCAAAAGCTAATAGGCTCAGTTCTATCCATGGGGGTAAAACATATAATTGCCCAATATGCGATGTACCTTCTTATGTATGGGCTCAAAATTGGCTTCTACGTTAACCCACCAAGCACTTATGCACCAAATTGCAATAATGTGAATATTCAGAGCCCAATGTTGTACCATCATGAGTTGGCTCATCTTTGGTCACCATTCACACTGTCTCAACTGTGGTGTAGCATGGTTGATTCGACTCAAATGGAAAGACCAATGGAATTGACATTATAAATAATGCTTTCAAGAGGAAACAACAAATAAAACCATAAACCATGGAGGAGCCAACAAGACAGATATAGTATGATGTGAGATGGTCCCTATTCCGCTATCTGAAATATAGTACTACCATGCCGTCTATTCCATCTGCGATTCATTTAACAGGACATACTAAAACCCAGAAGAAGGACAATAGATATAAAAAGGCCTGAAAGAGCCATACTAAGCTATTGCTATGTTCACCCATCCATCCACTTCACATAGATGATCCCAAATACAAACAAGCATGCTTTGTATTCGTTTCACTTATAGTCCCAGTTCTCTCTGTTAAACATATGTAAAGCAAGCAGTGCTTTTACCTCTTTCAAGTCCCCAAAAGGCTGCCTCGCTTGGTTGTGAGTAATTCTGATGAAGGAAGATAGTTTAAGACTTGTTCTGTGAGCGAGTCCGAGGGAGAAACCTTAATCGTGGAGAAAATCGCAGCTCTTGCCTACTGCAGGAAGTAGACTTCCTCTTCTGGCCTTGTGTTTTACCACCACTTCCTGAAACCTTTCCTGCAATTGACATCATTCAAAACTTAAAATGCCGAAATTAGAAGAGGGAAGAGGGGGAAGAAAGAAAAAGGGAAACCGTTGAGTAGACAGGACTTTCTTAAATCATGTAATCAAATAGATTCAAACTATAGTTTAAACACGTTGAAATTGAACAAGGGCTGACAAAACCACTTTTAAGTCAGTTCTAAAACACTGAAAAAGTGATAAAGACCAGAGTGTCAAATTGAGTTAAATGTTTGAGATGTTCCACAAATCAGATATATTTTCTGCATGAGTAACATAACACAAATTATTATAACTAGACAAGAATATATACATGCACATGTAAATATAAACATATATAACCTTCACTTTGTCGAATGTTTCCAAGTCTTGTGACAGCACCAGACATGTTCTTTTTATTTATTTCTTTGCCAGGCATAGTGTTGTCCTTGTCAGATGAAGGAGAGACAACTTTCTTCTTTCTTGATCCACCACTTTTCTTTTCCATTCCATAGTTTTCAGGTACTATTAAATTCTCCTCAGAAGAATGTGTGGAACGAGTTAACCTCCTCATGTTGGTTGGAACCGTTGACTTGTTGTCCTTAGCACAAGTCTTCATTGGAACATTTATATCTTGAATGGATCCAGCATCACCAGGCATCGGCTTTTCATTACTTTCTTCCATAGGGATGTTACTCTCTGCATGAAGTGGCGAAGAGACTGCTTTCTTATTTTTCAATGCATCATTCTTCTTTTTCAATACATTTCTTTCATGAATGGTGACATTTCCTTCATAGGAAATTGATCCTGTAATATGAGCTGACTTGCTCTCTTCCAACCCTTGTTTAATTGACATAGTTGATTTATCTTTTTCTTCTTGGACTGCTGAACGAGTCAACCTTCTTGTGTTGGTTGAGGCCCTTAACTTAATCTCTTCAGCAGAATCTTTCACATGAGAATCACTGTTTTGGTTTTCAAAACCTTTCTGAACTGCTGAGAGAGTTTTTCTAGCATCTGAGGTCTCATTTTCATTCTTATGGGCTTTGGTTGATTCAGAAGATAATGTGTTACTAGACATATTGTCACTGTCAGGGGAGTTGAATAGCTCAGTCCCACCTATAGCAATATGCTTGTGAGTACTCGATAC